GGGTCTCTACAAGGACGAGTGGGACTCGACGTCGTTGAGCTTCGTTCCGAAGGTTGTCGTGCCCCGCGGTGGTCTTCGAGCTTTTCGCTACAATGGGCGGTTGTACAGGCTGCCGTTGAGGAGGCAGGTTCTTCTCTATTACCACGACAGCGAGACCATGGGCATGCACAGCTCCGCCGAGGACACCTTGGCCAAGCTCGCGAAGCAGTTCGTGTGGCCAGGGATGGAGCACGACGTTCAGAAGAGGATCTCGTCGTGCAGCGTTTGCCGGATGGTGAAGCCGGCGCGCGGCTTGACTGCCGATGCGAGGATGGAGCTCTACGACAGGCCCTTCAGGCTGATCGGGATCGACGACCTTGGGCCGATCTCGCCAGAGTCGGAGGGCTGCAGCGACATCTTGCACGCGGAGTGCGCCTTCTCGCACTACGCTTGGCTCAAGGCAGCGCCCGACAACTCGGCTTCAACGTGGGCGAAGTTCTTGGTGGAGAACGTCATGTTCGACCTGGCCGGCTTTCCGCCGGCGTTGCGGAGCGACAGGGGCAGTGCGTTCACGAGCGAGATCGCGGCCCAGATCAACGATTTGCTCGGGGTCAAGCACTCGCTGGGCAGCGCCTACCACCCAGGCCACCAGAAGATCAACGGGATCCTGGCGAGCTACTGCAGCTCGCACCCTGAGCGCTGGGCGCGCTGGGTGCCCTTGGCGCAGTGGTGCCTTCGCGCGACGCCGATGCCTCACCGCTCTGGCAGGTCTGCTTTCGAGATCGTGACTGGCATGCTGCCGCAGGGGCCGATCGAGGAGGTCTTCAGGAGGCTCGAGCCAGGCAAGGCGCTCGAGCCCGGCCACAACGCGCGCGACCTCATCGAGCACTTGGAGTCGACGCACGCCACGGTGGCCAGGGAGATCAAGGCGGCCCACGACGAGGAGCAGCACGCGCGCGCACTGCAGGAGCCGGGCGCTCGGGAGTTCCAGACTGGCGACGCAGTCCTCCTCCGCGCTCCGCCCGCTTTGGTGGCCCGCGCGATCGGCGCGGTGGACGGTGCTTCGACGAGGCTGCTGCCGAGGTTCCGCCCCAGGATCTACCGCATCCACAAGATGGTAAGCCCGCAGTCCGCCATTTTGGCAGACCGAGATACGGGCAGCACGTCATTGGGCTTCAGTCAGCCCGTGCACGTCGACAGGCTGAGGTTCTTCGAGCTCGCCGAGCTGGACGTTCCGATCAAGGACGAAGAGCTGCAGCTGGAGATCATGAAGGGCAGCGCCTGGGTCAGGCACAACGTTATCAGTCAGTCGGCGACTGGCCGCGTCGAGATCGTGCGAAGCGACGACGTGGACGGCAAGTCCGAGTGGGTCGACCTGGCGACCGAGGAGTACCGTTGGTTGCACCCGGTCGTGAGCGAGCCAGCTGCTGGTGCCGCCCCTGCGCGCCGCCGATTGCGAGTGACTTGAGAGGCAAAGAAAGCTTCGGCACAGGTCGAGGGCTAGGGGGATGCTGGGAATCATTTTGCACAATAGTAGTATCCCTCTCCCAATGCCTCCTCTCACTATTTGCACGTAGTCTGTCCATTTCTAGATTTGTATTCTAGAAGCGTGTTTGTGGCACCTAGGACTTATTAGTCATCATATTTGCATTCAGTGCATTTCGTTTCATATTTCTGGCGAGTCGTGGGTGCGTAGGTGCACTTTTGGGCGAGCCAGAACCGTTTGAGCATATGTGCGCAAATGGTTTTTAGGATCATATGTCTGACCAATTTCTGCTGTAGTTGTCCGTTCTGGGCCCCAGGACCTGCAGATCGAGGTCTGGGATGTTCCGCAGTGGAATTTCCCCGTGTTTAGAGGTCCTGGGCCCTCCTACAGCATGTTTTCGGCCCTGGGCACCCTTTTCATATATCATTTCTGAAGGGTCCCCGAATGCATATTTTGAGAGCGGTTTTCCTGGAACCTGAGACGCTCTGCCTGGCAACGGGCATCGTCTCCAGGGCGCTCTGGTGAGACCGGGCACGGCAGCGTGACCAGCCTCACCTCAGACCCTGTACAGTTTGTATTGTTTCACTTTTGGCTCAAGTCCGACCGAGACGTCGGCATTGTGTCCCTCGTTAGCGTATGGGAAAACGACGGACCCGTACCATCGACAGTGCCACCGATCGTCACGAGAAGCGTGTGGCTGTGAGCTTGGATTCGTGGTTGCGTGCTGTGTTGTTGAATCTGCCGCCGAATCCTCGATTCGTGAACCCTTACCCGGTTTCCCAGTTGGCTGTGGTAAAGCATCTAGAGTTGGTTGAAGCAGAACATACGCTCACGAGGGCCAGTTTCCGGTTCTCGGGCCGGGTTCGGGTCGCGGGCCGGTTCGGGTCGAGGGCCGGTCCGGTTCGGCCGGTTCGGGTCGTGGGCCGGTTTCTGGTTTTTGGACCGGTTGGCGGCCATCATGCGATGCTAAATCAAGTTCTCGCTGTAGCGCCGCGCGCATTCGTTTTGAAAGCGCGCAACACTTACAAATATTGGGGCGGTTCCTCGTCGAAGTGGGGTCTCGCCCTCGCGCTGCGCACATGCGTTGGAACGTTTTGCAACAGCTAAACGCATGGAGGAAGCGTTCCTTTTCAAAACTGCGTTGTCGCTTGAGTCTGCCGTGCCTCATGTTGCAAAAGCGCGACAAAATACAAGAGGTGCACGAACGGAGGTCAGCTCGTTTCCAAAACGGGGGCCCTTGCTCGAGCCCCACAAGAGCACGAGAAGCGCAACAGGGCGCAACCGCTCCGCTGCTGGAGGGCGCGCCCTCCTCAGAGCTCCCGCCCGGCAGTTCTTCGAGTGTGAGGGCCAGCAGCTGGAGCATCCGCAACAGGTGCGCGGACGCAGGGCAGCTCCCGGTCCACACGGGGCTCGCGCAGGCAAAACTCCTCCGACGCATCTCAGGAGGGAAAAACACACAGACACAATTTCTCGTTGATGCCCCAGAAACTAGGGGAAATATGGGAAGTGGGGGAAAGACAAAAACCATGAAAATACGGGGAGATATGGGGAATTCTGCTTTTTGTATTTATTTATGTGTGTGTACCTGGGCCCCTTCAGTATCGGCCCGAGTTTCGTGAGTTTGCCCCACGGTGGCACGGATTTGGGGGGGCGGTTCTTGTAAGAACGGGGTTCTCGCTAGCTAGACACCTCGCGGGTCGTGATGACCCCACCTTGTTACCTGCCTCAGCATTCGCTCCAGGGGTGCAGAGCAGTTCCTTTTCAGAACGGGGCTCTCGCCCAAATGGCAGGCCCATAGGATGCTTGTGGCGCTTTTAGCAGTGAAAAGAAGCCCTGCAGGAATTTCTGAGGAGAGAGCTTGGCACGCGAGGGTATGTTGCAGCATCGTTGATGCACCTAGGGTTTGCCCCAGTCCTCTTCCTCCTCTTCCTCCTCCTCCCAGAACGCAGATCCAAGCGGTCTCGGAAACGTGCCCAGAGGCTCGCCTTCTGGAGATCCACGCCTGGGGCCAGCGGCGTCGGATGTCGAAATGGGCCACCACCACCCCTGCAGGAGGTCGTTGCTCAGGCCGCGCAGCGATTCCGCTGCATCCTCCTGAGTGACCTTTGCGAGGGAGACTTGGCCACCAGCTCGCCGAAGCCAGAGCTGCACGACAGGACCCGGAGGGTGAGGTTCGGGGAGTGCGACGCGTTCATTCGAGGTAGAAAAAACGCCATGAACATACACTTTTGGCGCTCCGCGCGGATTTCTTGGAGCTGGGCTGGACCCCCCCCCCTGGCGGCGCCTCTGGCGCCGCGCGCCAGGGAGGGCGTCCAGCGCAGATCCAAGGAACCTGCACGGAGCGCCACAAGTTTACGCTCATGGCGTTGTTCCTTCCTCCACTCCTCTCGCACTCGTGGAGCGACGAGGGGGGGCGCGAAGGCAGGCGACGAGGGCGTGGCGGGCGGTGGGGTGCATGCTGCCCCCTCCACTCTCCTCCCTTCCTCCCCCCTCCTGCGCCCGCCGCCCCCCATCCCTGGACTACCCCCGCCCGCCTCCGCCCCCGACGACGACGACGACGACGACGACGACGACGACGACGACGACGACAACGACGCCGACGACGACGACGACGCCGACGACGACGACGACGACGACGACGACGACGACGACGACGACGACGACGACGACGACGACGACGACGACGACCCCGCCCGCGCCCTCATCTGCGGCAAGTCTCCGCGCCGCGGCGGCGCGGCGACGGCCCCAGCGCACGGGCGCCCGCGAGGCCGAGCGCCCGCGGTGCCCCGGGAGCCGGCCGACGTCGCGCGACCTGCGCCGTCGAGAAACCGCATTCGCTCGAGGCCGAAAGCTCCAGGCGGCGACAAAACGCCGCGCGAGAGGCGCCACGACACGAGCCTGCCGTGCACCCTCACCCGCGCGCCCCCCTTCCCTTTTTGTGGGCGCCCCTCGCCTACAGTTAGGTCGGGCCTGTCCCTTTACAGGAGGGATATTCAAAAATAGTGCAAAAATAGTCTGGGGACGATTTGTTCAATATGTTTGAATATTTTTGCGCATTTTTGAAGTGTCTTTTGATTTTTCGTCCAAAACCCGCCTATAGGGGGGGGGACACGCCCGGCTCAAGTAGCCCCACCTCTTCCCCCGGGCCACCGCGCAGCAGCCCCCGCCGCCGCGCCCCTTCCCTGCCTTCCCGGGCACCCGACGGTGTGGCTTCCTGAGTGCGCGGCCCCGGAGGGCCCGACACTTTCCCGGGTCGGGGGCCTTGAGACGGGGGTCAATGCAAACGGGTGTCAGCCAGAGCGCTCGATCTTGCAGGATCCTGCAGGGCCAGGGTCGCATTGACCCGGGTTTGGGTGCAGGATCCTGCAGGATCTTGCAGAATCCTTTGCATTGACCCGGGTTTGGGTTCAGGACGTTGCAGGATCTTGCAGGATTCTGCAAGGCTTGACTGACCGGGGTTTGGATTGACCCGGGTCAGAAGATCACCGCCAGGGACCAGCTATCCGCCCCAGATCCATCATTCAGGATCCTGGGGCCCAGGGACGGGCCCTGGAGGCCGAAACTGAGGAACAACGCCAGGGATTGAGGAAAAAGCGCGTATCGTCACGTCGTCGGAGATCCGGGCCCGTCTCCCTCGTGGAGCGACGACGGGGAGGCCAAGTGGATGGCACTGCAGGGCTGGTGCGCACGCTTCAGGGAGGAGCGTGGCCGAGAGCCCAAGCTGTGGCTGGACAAGTGCTGCATAGACCAGACGGACGTCGAGACTAGCCTACGCTGCCTGCCCCTATTCCTGAGCGGCTGCAAGGGACTCGTCGTATTTTGAATGAGAAAAAACGCGTGACACAAGCGAACATTCGGAGGTCCCCTGGCGCTGAGTCCCTCTGGTGGCGCCTCTGGCGCCGCACCTGGCGCGCAGGAAGGGGGACCCAGCTCCGATCTAAGCAATCCGCGCGGACCTCCGAAAGATGATATTTATGCAGCTTTTCTCATTCGGCCATTGTGTGGCCCCACCTTTTTTAGCAGGCTGTGGTGTGTCCTCGAGCTCTTCACGCACTACCACATGGGAATAGACGTGTACCGGCTGTCGGTCATCCCCGTGCTGCGCGAGGGCATGGCCGAGGCGGACGCCCAGGCCGTCCAGTCGCGGGCGCACCACTTTGATGTTCTGCAGTGCCGCTGCTCCAGCCCCGAGGACTCGCAGAAGATCATGGACGTGATCCTGGCCGCCTTTGGCACGTCCGACGCCTTCAACGAGACCATCCGCGGGATGCTTCGGGACGCCGGCATCACGGACCACGAGTGTTCCGACTGCTCCTCCGAAAGCTCTGACGGCTCAGCCTCGGCGTGCCGGCGAACTGGCGCGCGCGGCCCGACCGTGCAATGGATCGCCAGCGCCACGTGCGGTTATGATAGCCCCGTCGTGGGTGATTCCGACAGCTCCGGGTCGGACAAAAGTCAAGTCGAAGGGCAGGGGTGAATGCGGCTCGTTTGGCGCGGCCGCTTGCAATGGGGCGCGGCAGGAGAGGTGGCCGCCTCTCGCAAAAAGTCTCCTCGAGGCACACTCTCAGCCTACCCTGGGGGCGCCGGATAAAGAATATCCTCCTGGGGGTGCATCTCGAGGCGTCTTGGGGGCATCTTGGGATCTCTAAGTTCCCTCTGGGGCATCTTGGCGTCTCGACGCGTCCTGGAGCCTTTTGAGGTCTCCCTGAGGGGCCTGGGAGGCGATCTTGCCAGGACCTCCAATCAATGTTTGAAAAGGCGCGCGATCCAGTATGAAGCCTGCAGGCAGAGCCAATGCGCTGCTCGCCTATACGGAGAAATCCCACAAGAAAGGATATGGATGTGAAAGGGCAGGAGGATAACGACGAGGACGAAGAGGAGTAAAGAAGGATGATCAGAGAGGAGGGAAAAGATACTTTACGCAATGGCGAGGACGAGTGCAAGAAGGAGACACATGGCGGCCTTGAGGGGTAAGATAACAGAGAAAGCGCGGCTGATTCACGATATGCATAGATTACCCCCCAGGGGAGCAGCATGGCGGTGACGGATGCGCGCCTGGCACCACCCAGGGAGGGCAGTGTCTAGTCCCATCTGCATTGGACACAATTCCGTTTGGAGGAAAAAGTTGATCCCCCAGGGGCGCAGCAGAGTGGCGGCAGATGCGCGCCTGGCGCCCCGGGCGGGCGAGGTCCAGGTGCGCCTGCGTGGGGCACCATTCCGCTGGACGTCTCACGAGCGCAGCCAAGTGGCGATACGCGCGCGCCTGGCAGCACACAGGGCAGGGCGAGATCCAGCTGGGTCCGCGTGAGGCACTGATGCGCTGGACTTCCCAGGTGCGCAGCAGGCTGGCGACGAGCGCGCGCCTGGCAGCACCCAGAGCAGCGCGAGGTCCAGGTGGGTCTGCATTGGGGCAGACCTGCGCTGCGCCCCGCGGGAGGTTGGCGACGAAGTTGCGCGCCTGGCAGCGTGGGGCGCGGTCTAGCTGGGTCCGCGTGGGGCTGCACGACACTGGACCTCCCGGGGAGGGGCGCAGGAGAGTGGCGACGGGTGCGCACCTGGCAGCACCCCCGGGGAGGGCGAGGCGTAGCTAGATCTGCGTGGGGAACCACTGCGCCGGACCTCTCCGGGGCGCTGGCCTGTTGCGACGCTTGCACTCCCGGCAGCAGCGAGGGAGAACGAGTCGCGGAGAGCGAGACTGGGGAGGAGGGAGGAAGCAGGGGAGCGGGCGAGGAGAGGAGAAGACGGGAGCAGCAGTGCCCTAGACAAAACGATGGCCCAACAGAAGGGTCTGGACAAGCATTCGTCATCCCCTAGCCTCCGAGGCCTCTGGAGCCCATCCACGGTGATATCGATGACCACATCTCGCCGAGCGCGTTCCACGATTCGCGAAGTGCCTACCCACAAACGTCCGAAAAAACACGTGCCTGCTTCGATACAATTTATCGTAGATCCCCCACGGCGGATCCAGGCCATTTGCGAGTAGCTACTTTGCGAGTAGTGGAACGCGCTCGTCTGGTATCTCCCGTTGGTTGTTGCTTCGCGTCCGCCATGCTCGCTTCACTCTGTGTGCTTTCGACGTGCGTTCGACGTCCCACTTGCTCGAGCAGCGCTCATTTCGCATCTCTTCTGAAGCGAGCAAGCCTCCAGGTGCCCGGCTGGCCACGCCACGCCGACGGCAGCATCGACAGGGAGCGGTTGCCGCCGCCGCCGCCCGCACTGCTGGCTGACCGCGCTGGCCCGTGATGGCCTCTGGCTGCAGCCCGGGCGGGTCGACTCGCTCGCGCAGAGGCACGCGCCCAGGCCCCCAGCAGCCCTGCAGCCAGGACAGCATCGCAGCACGTGCTCGAAGGTGGCTCGTGAAAGTGAGGGGGGCTCACTTCGCATCAGCTCAGATGTCCCCGGCTTGAGAGAGATGCCGGAGAGCAGCTTTTGCACCCGCTGCAGATGCCTCGGGGGGGGGCTCCCACTCCCTCCCGAGGCAGACGCTTCAGAGGAGAGGTGCAGAGGGAGCGAGGGACAGGAGGGGCTCACGTGGACCAGATCAGAGCGGGGAGGGAAGCCTCTTCAGCTCCTGGAGCGATCTACAGTCAGCTCCTGGACTGACTCGACGTGGTGTGACGGTCTGGGGCTGCCGCCGCGCTGGCAGAATGCTCGACGTTTGTGGGAAGCTAGTGGCCAGTTTCGGTGTGGGCGCTTCGTCTCGTTGCTGGCTAGCCTTGATAGACTTCGAGCCGCAGGCCAAGTCCACGCGGGAGGGTAGGAGGCGAAGATGGCCGCACTGAGCGCACCGCATCCTGCGCCGCGGAGCCGTCCTTGTGCCCGGAGGCGGCGCGATGGCGCGAAGACGACTGCCCTGCCGCAGGCCACGATTTGCGCCCCCCCCTCTTGGACGCCCCCCTCCTGGCCGCCCCCGAGGAAAGCCGCCGATCTTTGGAGGCTGAACGATTCACGCAGCGTTAGAAACAAACGCTGGGGTCGTCACGACACGACCCTGCCGCAGGTGCTCCAGATTTCGTAGTAAGAGGGAGGGTATCACACAACCATCCCAGACGAGCAGTTTGGGACCCCCCCCAAAAAAAAACAAGCCATGAAAGGGCAGCCTTCGGCCCAGACCCTCCTGGAACCCTCCAGGACAGCTCCAAGCAGACCCCCTCCCCGAATCAGACCGCCCCCCTTCTACTGCGAAGTCCGATCGTTCAAGGCTGAACGATCCCGCCGATCGATCAAGGCTGAACTATCCACGCGGTGTCAGAAATAACCGCTGGGGTCGTCACGACACGACCCTGCCGCTGGCAATGTGCCCTGGGCGCCTTCCCACCTCCCACACCGCTCACGATGCCCCCCCCCATGGCCCCCCCCCTCCCCGTGGGCTGTATTTCGACCAGGCCTTGCCACCCGATTCTGGCGCAGAGTGGGCCCACGCAGCGGCAGTTGGCCGCGACGCAGGGGCCGACGGTGCCAGGAGGAGGAGGAGGAGGAGAAGGAGGAGGAGGAGGAGGAGGACGAGGAGGAGGAGGAGGAGAAGAAGGAGGAGGAGGAGGAGGAGGAGGAGGAGGGAGGAGGGACCAACACGAGCCCTCCGCGGGTGGCGCGGCTGGGCCCCCCCCCACCCCACCGCGGGTGGCGCGGACACCGCTTCCGCCACCGCGGGGGGCAGGCAACGCCTCGGACGAGGCTGGCACGACACAGCAGCAGCCGCACGCGGCTCGGGCGGCCGGGGCCCGATCTGGTGGGCCCGTTTTCCACCACCACCACCACCACCATATGTTGGAGGGGGGAAGGAGGTGGAGGAGGAGGAGGAGGAGAAGAAGGAGGAGGAGGACCTCCCCCTCCCACTTATTGTGGTGGAGGTGGAAAACAGGCAAACCACGATCTGCTCAGCACCGCCCTCGTGCTTTTGGGGTGCCCGGCAGAGGCTCGTGATCGGGGGCGCGCCGACGCGGGGGCGACCCCAGCCACGGGCGTTGGAGGTGGAGTCTCGCCAGTTGCCCAGAATCTGCCGATGCTCGGCGGCAAGCGAGGGGGGGGCAGTGAGAAGGAGAAGGCCTTCTCGGAAGGCGTCGGAACTTCTCAGAAGCCCTCGCGCCTTCCGAGAGAAGTGATCTGTGTCTTCTGGGGAGGCTTGGAGCACTTGCTCAGAAGGCCGGGGAGCTTCCGAGCCTCCCGAGAAGGCCCGCCCCCCCTCGCTTCCCCCCCCGGGCTCGCCGCCGAGCTCAAGGCTGAACGTCGCCAGCTGCCCAGAACTTGCCGATGCGGTAAAGCAGCCGAGGCAAGGACCCCTCTGAGAGCTCCGGAGGGGCTCTGGTCTCCAGGCCGTGTGCTTCGGAGCTGGGGGAGGAGGAGGAGGAGGAGGAGGAGGAGGAGGAGGAGGAGGAGGAGGAGGAGGAGGATGGATGGATGGACCCGGCATTGCGCTGTGAGTCTGAAGACACTCACCCCTCGAGCTCACGAAACGAGAGATCGCTCGGGGACACCTCAGAACAGTCGTGCGATCTCCTCGGACCGAACGAGGTCAGGCGTGTGGGCGCGCCGTGCAGCTGTGATCACCATGGATCCGAGCCGAGCAGGACAGGAAACGGTAAAACGCACGCGGGCGGGGGGTGATACCCCTCTGGCCCCTGGGGGCCGAGCTCGACGGCGCGGAGAGCACCGAGCAGGCTCCCTGGACACCCCAGAGGCCCCGAGAAGGAAACAAAGAAACCAGGCCGAAGAAGGGGCCGACGGCGCGCCCTAGAGACCAGGGGCGGCGAGAGCGACTAGAGGGGCCTGGTGCTACAGCGAAGCTGCTGGACTCACGTCGTCACGTAGGTCGCCCATCTCTTTCCGTAGGATCCGCCGCCCGTGTCAGCCCTTCTGGCCGTAGTGGATCTGGCGGTTCTTGTCTGGCATTTTCTGGTCCATCGATTCCAGGTGGCCCGTCCCCATCTTCTGGCGGCCGCCCATAGCGTCGAGACAAGTCTCCCGAGGGCCGTCTGGTTTGACGCTCTTCCGTGTGATCTGGTCCGCACTAGCGAACTGCATCCTGGTGTACTGGTCGTTGTGGCGCGTGCGCAGCCTGAGGTGGAGAAGAGCTCCGAGCCCGTCTCCGTGCAAACGAACTGCTGGTGGAAGGTACGCGGGAGCCCGTGCCCCTGCGGGGCCTCCTGCACCACGAAGGCCGACGGGTACTTGAACTCGGCGTGGGCGAGGTAGAAATGTGGTGAGTTGGGGCTTCGCCTCGGGGGACTGCGCCGCCTCTGCGTACATCTTGCCCGCTTCCCGAGCTGCGACGATCGTAGTGGCCGTGGGCGTGGTAACGATGCTGATCCATTCCGAGTCCGCTAGGTCCCTGAGCAATGGGGCGTGCAGGCGCACCATCTTGGGGAGGAACGTGACCGCCTGCTGCAGGTCGCGCGTCTTCAGGGCCAGGGCGCCCTCCCGACGAAGCATGATCGTGTCGTAGTCCCAGGTGTGCAGCGCGTGGGCCTTGAAGATGTCGCCCGCGTAGAAGGAGCGGTGGTCTCGATCGTGCAATATGTTGAGGCGGCGACCTGCTCCCATGG